AACGCAGCCTGATCAGCGGTGGTGGCATCGCGGTGGGTACCATTGACCAGGCCTTCCGTTTTTCGGAGCACGCGCCACAACCACCGGGCATATTTATGGCTAATCTGGCCGGATCGGGAATGCCCTTACCGCCGACCACTAAGAACATCCAGTATGCCGCCTGTGGTGGAGGCCTGGTCACAAATGAGCGTTATCACGGCCTACCACTGCATACTAACGATTTAGAAAATCTGCGGCCGCATCTGGTGATTTTTGCCAAAGCCTATGGAATTCAAATGGTACGTCCCGGAATGTTGTGTAAATGCTTCAAGCTTTTCTCCACGGGTTACTATGGCGTCTTTTTGATTCGGTCCTTGTTTGCTTTTAGAACATCCAAGCTATAAGGTCATCTGCCGATGAGATGGAGCTCTTTTCTGTCATCAATCGCAACTTTAGGCACATTTTCGGTAAACAGGAAGAAATGAGGACGTTCAAATGTTACGATTTCACTGGGGTAAGGTTTTTTTGTCGTCTGCCATGGGAGAAACTTATTGTTTCTTGAGATTTTCCCGGCATTTGTTTTTGCATTTCCACCAAGGGTAAAGTCGTGGACGTGCACTGGAATTGATAAGGATAATTTTCTCCTGTGACAGAGCTTTATTTCTTCTTAACCGTCAGTGCGTGACTATATATCATCCTTAAAACGCATTCCGCCGTATATTTTTGGTATCTCTATGTTCAGAATAAGAAAAAGGTACAGTTGAATCAAATATTTCGTGATCCCTTATGCTTTCCTTCACTGCTGTTTGTAAGTGGCTTTACTCATAGTAATAACCATGATGCTGTTTGATGTGAGGCCTGTGCGTAATTTCCTATGTATCAAAATTAGCATCATTTCAGGAATCTCCAAATTTCGCAAGCGTTTGCTTCTGTGGGGCCGCATCCACCCTGATGAGGACATTTGGCAATAACATACATAATTTCCATCGTAGTAACTTATGATTGGCAGACTTCAAGGTCATCGGTACCCAATTGGTCACCTGCTCCTTCCCCACAACTAGCATCTTTTGATTTGCTATTATGGTCAGACTTATGATGTCTTTTGTGTTACAGGGTGGAACCGAGCGCTGGGGTTTCGACTCCTGTATGCACGCGGTAAAGAAGCCTGCCAATTGGCTACCCTATGTTAAAATTCGCCCAAAACGTAATGCCGACCTCGTGAAAAGTCAAATGGAGCTGCGTTCTGCCGGAAACATTGACGAAATTCTTCGAGCTGCCGCCGCCTTCCTCAAAGTGAAACAACCCGAGGTTAGTTTTATTTTTTTCTCACAGTGCCCTGTTGGCAGAGCCTGCATATCTGTCAGCCTGTACCACTCGAATCCTGCTAATTGAGCGAGAAAGACAAGTTTGCGCGGATCGACTTTGCGTAGGTTATACGACATGCAGATAGTCCATCTGGTTGAAGGATGCGGCACTTCACTCTGTTTAGCAACACGCTATTTATCGATCTGGACTTCTAAGTTGTTGTCTTCAAGGGAATTGGAGGAAGATGAGTTAATTCGGAAACATGGACAGTGAAAACTGTTTATATTGTACGAATTGAGGCAAATCTTCGCATCCCAGGCATGCATGTAGGTAGAGATGGAGAAGACGTTTTGTTAGGATGACCGAGCACGTCATCCAGACAGACAGACAGACAGACAGACATCCCG